GTCACTTTGGAAAGCTCAACCCCTGCCCTTGCGATCGTTCAAAAAATTAAACGGCTATTGAAACGCATAGCATGCCAAGGCTGACGTCTGCACAACGTCATGAGGCCATTGGGATGGTCCGTGGGGGGAATGTCTCAATGACAAGTGGCTGCACATTTCCACTGCCCCCCGGAACATCATTTCTGCCCCGGTGAGACGCTACCAGAACACAAATGACGTCATCGATCGGCCACGTTCTGGACGTCGACGTGTAACAACGCCAAGACAGGACAGATGGATAAGGGTGACCCATCTTCGCCACAGGTTTCAGACTGCAGTGATGACTGCCCGAACCATCCCAGGACCCTCCACCCCAACACAGTTCGACAACGTTTACGTCATCACGGGATCAGACCACGACGTCCCGCCATACGGCCTATCCTGACACAACGTCATCGACAAGCTCGCCGAATGTGGTGCCGAAATCATGTCCGCAGACCCTTGTTTTGGTGGAGAAATGTTGTTTTTACAGATGAGTCCAGGTTTAACATTTCCCATAGTGATGGACGTCAACGTGCCTATAGACGCGTGGGAGAACGTTATGCACAGGCCTGTGTCTTGGAGAGGAATCGCTTTGGTGGTGGTGGTTCCGTGATGATTTGGGGTGGAATAACAGCACGCCAAAGAACTCCTTTGGTGATTGTTCAGGGCAACTCAACTGGTGTGGGCTACAGGGATCAGATTCTTTGACCTGTGGCAATTCCTTTTCTGCAACGTCATGGCCCTGGGTTAACATTCCAACAGGACAATGCCCGCCCTCATACGGCAAGGGTTGCTATGGATTTCTTGCAACACCACAACGTTGACTTACTGCCTTGGCCTGCAAATTCACCGAGATGGATCGACTTCTACGCCGTCTTCCTCATCCGCCAGATAACGTCCTTGACCTTGCAACAGAACTTGAGAGAATCTGGCGTGACATCCCACAAGCCTTCCTTGCACGTTTGATGGGCTCTATGCGTCGTCGATGCACTGCTGTTCTCAATGCCGATGGTGGACATACCCGTTATTGAGCTTGTGACATGGTCGTTTGACCCCTGTTCCGCTTGTGGACTCGTGACGTCATTGTGATTGACTTTTCAATTGAAATTCTCCCGACTTGTTATGGTCTCATGATCCCTCCATTAAAGTTTACATGTACCTTTGTTATCGTACTTATCAACTGGGATAATATTTTGACAATGCACAGTTTCTTTATGTGGCTAGTATATATATATATATATATATATATATATATGGGCCGTTTTCAAAATTTGTAGTATACAGAAAATACTACCAACTTTGAAAATGACCAATATATATAAAAAAATCTGTAAGTTTAAAAGGATTTTTTTGTTCCAGAACAAATATTTAGATATTTACTGGGCAGTACATGTGGTAAATCATTAGTCTTGTCATTTTTAACAAAGTTTAAAAGTGCTTTTGATATCAGACTTAACTAAAAGCAGCGACGTTGGGCTCCATGGTCATTATGCGATTTAGCCACATAGTACAAGATTAGCCTTTCAGAAATTGATCAATGTCTATTTATCCTTCTTTGCAAATTGTGCAATCAATCGATTATTATTTAACAGTCAAATGTCTGGTTTGAGAAACACGTTTGTGCCGTATTACAACCTGAAATCTGTAAACAGAAGCGACAAAACCCTTTCCACATCCATAGGAAGTCCGACTTTATCAGTATTATGTATTTGTTTGTTTAACGCACCAGTCAGCACTCAGCTGCGTGTCAGCGGTCAGTAAATAGTCGAGTTTGGACTAGAAGATCCAGTGATTGACATGATGAGATATAGTGACAGAGCAAATGTTTATGAATCACTATGAATTAGGGATGGTAGAAGCTGTTCACAAAAAGGTGAGTGGACCTAGCCTAATTGTGGCACCATTCATAAATAAATACAAAGGCTAGTCACCTGTGCACCTGAAAACAATCTGTAACCTAGTTGTTAAAATAGTAAACGTACATCTAATATGGATCATATCACTTCCAGTAATGAGAAATGCTTCATTTGTTCTTCAACTTTAATTTGGAATTCTTATGGTCCAGGGTTACATACAAATGAGTGTGTAGTCCGTTTTGGATAATGGTACTTGTGACTGCTAGCTGAAAACTAGAAGTAATGGATGTCGTTTACGTTCAATTCAGTTTATTAAAAAGTTTACATTCCTTGATCTAAGTGTCATGGGGAAAATGAATCTCACGGCAAAAGAACCCGTTATTCAAACTGTCAGAAAAACACAAAATTTGGTAGTCTTATTTAAGGCTGAATAAGGTGCAAGGTTGGTGGTAATTTAAATTAAATTGATTTAAATCCCTTAAGCAACAAAAAAGTATGTTTACGTATTTACAACGTACTCTCGTCAATTAAATGGATGAAGGAAAACCAAGTTTTATGGAAAGTCAACTTCTTTATTGCAATGACGTCGCACGCATTGCAATAAAGAAGTTGACTATCCATAGTACTTGGTTTTCCTTCATCTATACAACTTCTAAAATGCCTCTCAAAGAAGTTATTTTATGGATGCTTCCTCTTTGTCAAAAGAAGCGCCCATTAAGATTCGCCCACTGCATTCACATTAGCAGAAGAACTAATGGGAAGTCTATCTAAAACATTCATACAAGTATTACTTGAATATTTAATATCATACCACACGAGTCGAAAGGATATTGGTTAACTGATTTCTTAAATTCAGAAAGAAAATAATAATGTTTTTATATATTTGTGTGTCAATGGCAATATTCAAACAAAGACGCCAGCACGATATTGTTAAGGGAGTTAAGTCTATTTGTCCGTTCGACAATTAGTCCAAATTGAACTGTTACCGTCAACAGCTTTTGCCGGGAGTCGGGAAGACCCAACAAAACAATCCGTCTCCATAAATCCTATGCAGATTGAGGTGAGGTGAAATGGGGTTTAACGTCGTACTTGAGAATATTTCGCTCATAATACATGCATGCGTGTGTATGTGTGGCTGCTTGTGCTAGCACAAACTTAAACTGGTTTTATGGTGCTAGCTCACTGAGATACCATGCCACAGTTAAGCATGAATACCCCACTCAGACACATTATACTGACTCCGAGCCAACCTGTACTTGTTGTAACCGTTAATGCCGAGCGCCAGACAGGAACCAACAAGTACTTTTTAACATCTTTTGGTATGACGCGGCCGGGGATCGAACCCGCGACCTTCCACTCTCCGGGCGGACGCTCTCACCACTACACCACAGAGGCGCTAATACAAGATTTCAACCCAGTCAGAAATAGCAAAACGTTTCAGTCTTCCAGAAAAGCCTTCTCACCCGTTAATACTAGTGCATTTCAAAAGGTATCCATATCATGTAGCTGCATCAGAATGAATAGAAGGAATTCACAGGACTTTGTCTTAAATTATGATGGACCTCGTAATGACACAGAATCTATTAACTTAAATTCTACACAAGCAAACACTGGGGTTACTTATGATACATTTAATAACATATAATATTCAGTGGAAAAGACTACCCAGTCAAGGCTATCCTCAGATTGGTATTAATCAGATTCCCTTCAATTGCAACTGTAGCACCCATTTCGCTAAAAGGCACCATCTGGCAACGATATTAGATTTAAGTTTTGGGCCGTGTTTTCCGCTACCAAATAGCTACCAAAACTTCCACACTACTACTTTGCACACTGAGCACAAAAAGTGCCAAAATGTACCTATTGAGTCTTACTTCCGCGCCAAAGTTCTCTTGAAAAATTTCAAAGACTTCTTCAAAGTATTTTCCAAAGGAGAATTGACTGGTCAGGGACAAGACCAATGTTGGTCTGGTGTCGACTTTGGTTCCTGAACAATTTCTGTTCTAGGTCTTATGTAAAAAGTCATCTGATCCATTCACACTTTCTAGCTCTCAAATAAACTTCAATCACCTCTAACTGATACCACCCGTCCGGTGACGACTAGTACTTGGCTGTGCATGTAGGCTATCAGTACCTATTAGTGCAGTCCATTTGCTGCAACAGGCAATAGAGGGAAAAGTAAAGCATTACTTTTTTCACTATTGTTTATATATACAACGGTTCTCTACAGAGCACTACGAAAGTTGGCAGTATGTATCTATGTAGTGTGTTGACAATATTTGCTCTATGGTAATTCTTAAGAGTACCACCACTGGCTGGTTAAGGACATATTTTTATTTCATGAACTTAAGAGTTAATGAAGCTAACTGAAAGCAGCGCCATGAAAATAACACACACCCCACCCCATTTCGTCGTCTTTCTAAGGACCAATGAGCAATGCACCTTTGGTCACAATTTGGTCTGTGGTTTGTAAATTGATTTTTAAAACTCTATAGATACCGTTTGGTGTGCTGATAAACGTTTTTTAAAGAACAATTCCACCTGTGTTATAATTAAAGCACTAATACGTAGGCATTAGCGTTAAAGACCCGTTAAGATCCGGGGGTTAGAAATGATCCTCAGTAACCCATCGTATGGGGCGAATAACGGGATCGGGTGGACAGAATCGCTGACTTGGTTGACACATGTCATCGTATTCCAATTGTGTAGATCGATGCTCATGCTGTTGATCACTGGGATGTCTGGTTACAGACCGCCGCCATATAGCTGGAACATTGCTGAGTGCGGCGTACAACTAAACTCACTCACTCACTGAATAGCATTAAACTCCTCTCTGTATCAGTTGTAGCCTTTACCCCGGAAGACGTCAAGAAATTAAAGAAAGAAATCTTCGATGGATACGATGTTTACATTCGCCCTATTCACAACCAAACCGAGCCAGTAAACGTGGATATGAGGTTTGTCCTTTACAACATCGCCTACCTGGTACGTACTTCTACCTGACACTGAAATATATGTCATATCCCTCTCGTAGCTTTTGTATTCATAACGTTCATTAAATGTGAATGTAAGTGTGCTTGTGCGTCTGTATATATAATATGTGTGAGGTAATGTGATATACCTTAGAATAGCACTTTGTGGTAAACCTATAGCTGCGTTTCTAAATATTTAACTGTATGTTCACATTCAGGATCTGAAGATTCAGAAACTAAAATGGAACGGGTTTCTAAGCTTGGTAAGTTTAACGTTGAACAACTGTTTCCTGTTACATATAATCAGTCCAAGGCAAGGAAACGGAATTACATAATGTATACTTGCCCTTAGTAATGTACAAAGTGTATACGTCAATCATTAGCATGCATATGATGGTCCTTGTCAAGATGAATCTCTGAAAAAACTACCGTGTTAAAGTTAAAAAAAACATTGAAGAAATGTATCAAATCAAAGCCATCGAGCGATACACTAAGGTCTGAATGATTTACAAATATCATACTGGACCTCCTTTCGTGCATGCAGTGTAATAAAGCACAATTTTGATTTAGAGAATATCTCAGGGGGGCATTCCAAATTGCAAATAAAGAAAAGCTCGGTGGATCCTATTTTGTTTGTCTGTTTTAGCGCTGGTACGATGCAATCCTATCATGGAATGCCAGTGAGTATGGAGACCTGGACTTCATCACTGTGCCACAGTCGAAAATATGGCGTCCTGACTATGTCATCAACAATGAGTACGTAATGAGACGCTCAGAACATATCAATATGTACTCGCCAATTGGCGTAGAAGAAATTGAAAAAAAAATCACTGTTATTAAAACTTTTGCAATCTCAACTCCTGTACATATTTTCTCTGCACTGCCCAACCCACTTAAACATTAAAGAACTCAATAAAATAATTTACAGATTTTTATTGAAAATTTAAAACGACAAAATAAAGAGTTCAGCCATAAAGAGGGGTTATCAAGATTGGGGCCTCAGAATGATTAATATAGAATGTTTCATTGATGCTTAAAATCATCTTCATTGAAAAACTAAAAAAAAAGCCCTAAAGAATAACAGCCCTAACATCTTTCTCGTAACTCATTTATTCTCACTTTGCTCAAATGCTGTTGCCTGACTGGAAAGGTGTATTTAGCTATTATAGGAAATGTACAAATGACTGTAAGCTCTTAGACTTTCAATTCAGATTTATAAACAGAATACTTTATGCAAAAAAAATATTGAAGATGAAGTTAGTTGATGACGATACATGAACATTTTCTAAAGCCGCCTCAGAAGATATATCACATGTTTTCGTTGAATGTCAATTTGTTCGGAACTTTTGGCTTAATAATAACCTCCAAACCAATTTGACACTATCTGAATTCATTATTTTGTTTGGACTGTCCTCAAACAACCAATCACATTTTACTACTTGCCAAAAGATTCATCTATACTTCAAGCCTTAAACAGCAAGATCTATCTTTCGCTCAAGGACATATGCTATATTAGAAGATTTATTGCAATAAAAAATGATAAATTTAGTTATTTTACTAAGAAATGACATCACTTTTTACCCAAATCTGACATTTTAATTTAGCACACATACAGTTTGACTTATGGAAACTAATGTGTCCATTGAAGATATAACATTGTCACCCAGCTCCTGTCTATCTATATATGTACACCCTCATATGTGTATACAATTTTGTATATTAACTTGATGATGTAACTGCCAACACATGTCACGCTTCTGCCTGTACATGCAACTTGAATTGGAACTGAAAAAACCCCAGGACTATTACTTATTGCACTTTCAGCATCATTATCTGAAGGGAGCGAGTACTAATAGTACTGGAAAGTCTGTCAACAATATTCCAATAGTTTTGCATCAGGGAAGAATACACAAGCCTATCCACCCCCTCTATATAAAATCATATAATAATCATCATTGAATCCAATGGGAATGATGTTGAATATGGTAAGGTAAACTAATTAAACACAGAAGCTGCATTCAACTATATTTACATTAGAACCAGCATATATGTACACACACAATCATCACATTTTACCAGCAACCAAAGTTAGGTCTCCATGCAAGGTATCATTGGGGCTTAAGTGTCTCTTCTACCTTCTTTGAATCTTCGGGGCGGTGGGGTAGCCTAGTGGTTAAAGCGTTGGCTCGTCACGCCGAAGACCCGGGTTCGAATCCCCACAAGGGTACAATGTGTGAAGCCCATTTCTGGTGTTCCCCGCCGTGATGTTGCTGGAATATTGCTAAAAGCGGCGTAAAAACAAACTCAGTCAGTCAGTTTTCGAATAATTTTACTAAAGTACATGCTAAATTCATCTTCTTTTTTTATAATAGTGTTTCTCAGAAAACGAGCCTGGGAACACCGGACACTCTCGTTTTCATAGAAAGCAGTGGATTAGTCACTTGGGAACCGGGAATGGTTAGTGAAACAAGCTGCAAAATTGACATCAGGAAGTACCCCTTCGACACCCAGACCTGCTCGTTTGAATTTCTACCCTGGATGACAACGAACATGTTTTTGAACACTACCAGTCGTCTCAATAAGATCGACATGTCAACTTTTGTGCCACATGGAGAGTTCACTACTGGAGAGTCTTCAGTCCATTTCAATCCCGACAGTGTAGCCTTTACAGAAGATGTATTGGTGACAATAACTTACACTCTTGTGCTCAACAGACGTCCGGCGTTCTACTGGATGGTCATGGTATTTCCAATGGCAAGCTTTCCATTGCTCAGTCCAGTCAGCTTCCTTGTACCTGTAGAGAGTGGGGAGAAGATAACTCTGTCAATCACCGTGGTTTTGTCCTACTTGGTCTTCATTGGGTCAATAAATGATGCGATGCCAAGGTTGTCAGATACAGTCTCCTTGATAGGTACCGTACATCAGCAAGACATTTTTGGTAAACAGCAGCTAAAATAAGCTATCAATTAAAGTTCCTTTGGTTGTCATCCATATATGCTCTGATATGGTGTGTGTGTGGTTGTTTAACAACATAAAGGGGTACAGTTGAAGCCGTTGTTATGATTTTCAGCTTTTAATATATACTGCTTCATGTTCTCATTGCCAATGCCACTGACAAAAGTGCTAACTTGATAATTTCTTCAAACAGTTTTATAAGTATAAACCCGTGAAGATCCGGGTTAGAATTTGTCTTCAGTAACCAATGTTTGTCATAAGAGGCGACTAACGGGATCGGGTGGTCAGGCTTGGTTGACACATGTCATCGTATCCCAATTGCGTAGATCGATGCGCATGCTGTTGATAACTGGATGGTCTTTTCAAATCTCAAGTTAAAGTTGATTTACGATTTCATTGTGTTTCAATATATAATCTCCATGTGTGTTTACTTCAGTGATCTATGCCACCGTACAGACAATGATAAGCATGCTGACAGTCGTTGCCAATGGAATCATCATATGCATACATAAGTTGCCCCAGGACTTTCACGTCACAGTTCCATTATTCAAAACATCAAGAAGGCCTCATTCACAAAGAAAAAAGAAACACGATGCACAAAATGGAGAGAAGTTGGAGTTGTGTTCAATTACTGGCAAGGCAATGTCCAAAGCATCAAGAACAATTAACTCATCAAGAAAAGCGAAATACGAACTACAAAATGGGGAGAGTTTCAAAAGCAATTCTCCGAAGTTGGAGTCGTCTTCAGTTACTGGCAAGTCAAGGGCTTTACCGTTAGCAGAAGAGCGCATGAAAGAAAATTCAGAAACCAACGGGCTTAAATGGGTCCTGCTTGCTCGCCGACTTGACAAGATCTGCTTAGTTTGCTTTGTGTTTCTTGCTGCATCAGTGTCAGTCGTTTTCGGCCTCCTTTTCACATGCTAAGGTAGAGGATAACGATGCCGATTAGGACTTTGTTTGAAACCTTGATTTCTATACCGCATTGAAGCTAACGGTAGTTACATATTAAATGTGTTAATTTTCTTTTCATAAATTAAAACAGTTTCACCAATTGTTCTTATCTCCGTTTTCATTGGATGTTCTTATTTGTACTATTTATTGTAATATATTCCACTGAAAATTTAATTGATGCATTTCAATAATACACTGACATTCTATTTTTGCCAGGGTATCCATGGATACATGGGCATATTCTGACCTGATCATGGTAACTTGATTCAGACACAATATGCTTAATCATTTTAAGACATTGTAGAATAGTACGACCAATATGGAAAGGTTTTTGGATGTAGTATCAAAGAATAGATTATTTCATCTCGACTAGGGTTATTTACAGGCCAACTCCATGTAGCTGGAACCTTATTGAAGTTTGAAATCACCTGCCATTCTGAGATACGCGGAATCCTACAAGAACTGCCATAATAATCACACCAGTATATCAACGTCTACAAGTTCCAATGCTGAAATCTACCACAGAACTATAATTGTAGCGACCATGTCATCTATTGAGCTGACAAGCATAGATTCCAAAGGTGAAGTCTAAATGCATCATAACTGTTTCAGTGAAGCATGAACAGAAACAGTTGGGTTTAATACCGCTTTGAAAGGAAACATGAGAATAATCGCCCGTAAGGCTAAACAAGCAACGTGCACAAACATTCACAAAACACCCACCCACATGCTTCCTCACAGTGTATATACTCCTATCAATTTCCATGTCCTGACAGATCTTAGGTTAGCATGGTTATATTAACATATAAGAATTGGTGACCTCTCTGTTGCTGGTGGTTGTGGTGGCAATAACAACCTCCAACAGTTATTCAGATATGGACTGAAGTATTCCAGCTATGGACTTGCCTCACAAGAAATACGCTTTGCTGACGATGAATTCTAACCTGGATCTTCACAGTTCGACATGTGTTGCTGGTTCAAAGAACGTGTACCACGAGTGCCCTGCCTCAAAAAAATAATGATAATCCTTAAAAATGCCAGGCAAGGACTTTCCCTATATTCACAGAGAGTACATATGGAAGTAATACATTTTAATTTGTCACAAACGAAAAGAATCTGCTTGAAATGTTGCATTTTCAGAAAAAAAATAAAGTTCTTGGCTGTATAAATGCAGTAGGTTTTTCACCTTTGTATTCCCCTAGTCCATACAACAAAACTCTAAGCACAGCCTCATGCTGGTACGTGAGAATTGAAACTACATATATAAGGTAATCAGAAAACTGTGTCATACACTGCTGTTCAAGTTGCAATGTGAGATGACACGCGTGTACCCCTGCATATGGTACACATATCTCAGAGAACATTCTGTAACAGACTGGATTACACAATGCTGGATTAATATATGCAGTTCTAGAAGCTTACTTACGTCAAGTCTATATATAGTAATTACCATACCACTGACCGCTATCGAATCTCAACAGAAGCCCCTAGTACAATTTTTTTCAATGATGCACACAATTCCTACCACATTGGAGCATATGATACTAAGCATGGTTACCACAGAGCCAGTTTCATATCTCCCTTCAGAGGTTCAGGACGAATTGTGAAAAATGAATGCAAATGTCATTTGAAGTTTACAATATGTAAAAATACCAAGTCAAATTATTGGCTAAGACAAGAAGAAGATATCCCCTTGGCGTCCATTTGTGCTGTCCTCTGTTCTGTAATGAAAGAGAATACTTGCTCGAGGTGGCGAATCCTAAACAAGGTTATTTGGCAAAGATGTTAACCTTAAGCTCCAGGTCTAATAGTGATCTGAATCTGTTCAACAACGATCAAATATCAAATGCTCTTCCACTGATATCCTACCTGAACAGGATGTAACATTTAACAATAAGACACCATCATCTATCTCATATGTACATGTATACTAAAACATGCAGAGTGATAAAACACTTTGCACAAGACTTTTGAAGACAGGGATGACTTCGATTTAACTGTCCAAGAGTCAACTTTCAGTTCATGTTCATTACTATTCCAGCAGCTCCAGCTGTAGAAAACATTTCATCTTTCAAGGTTCAAGCGAGCGTGCTCTTTTTCTCAAGATTTCATAAAACGCAGAGTTCGTATTTTCATGATTACTGACCGTTTTCTTGGTTGACCTTAAAACAAAACTGTCAGGGGAACATAATTGTTTCAAACCATGTAGTCAACGGATTCGTATCATCGTGTCAGAGACTTATTGGCAGGGACTTATTGACGATGGGAAAAGAGTTTTGTAGATCGTATTGAATACATTACATAATTGTCACCCACTTTCAGACATTTGCCAGGTTATCTATAGCATCGAATCATTCCTACTCGTAAAACCCCGCTGTATTCACTGATTTCCATCAATCAAAACATGGTGTTGACATTCTACTTTCACATATTTATATAGATATTGAAATACCATTCCATTCCGCCAACACACTATTGTCCTTGTGTCACACGAGACTGTAATGACATACTGATCATTGTTGGTCATGCAGTCTCCCATTCCTCAGAGCAGAAAGTCGAAAACTGATATCTGCATCCAATGCATTAGCGTCTAGGCCTTGACAAACAATTGTCAAATGACAAACGTGTGAAAATGAATGGCAAAGTTATAAAAGAATGATTTATCTTTATCCTAATGCCGGTGGACTCTGTAAAATTCATATATTGATTAGTGCACACATTTGTGTGCTTGTAGTTCAGACTTGGTGCTGCATCACTCTGCTGTTTTCACAAAGAAGGTCACACGGGAAACGGGTTCCAGGAGATATGGCACAAAGCACCGTGACGTGGATGATTCTATTCTTGCACCTTTATAATGGTAGGTGTCTTGAATTGTTGAATTCTGATCAGTTATATTTCACTATCAAGATTTCACTATCAACAGTATAATATGGAACATATAAAATATATAATGGAGATAAACCCCCATGTAAATTCGGTGGTTGATGTTTAATGCCCGACTTGGCATTATTCTGGCTATAATTGAGTCTTGACCAATCAACTTTACTTGATTCCGATTCGTTTAGTGATAGCAGACATATCTCCTCATAAACAGTATCCCCTTGAAGCGTGGTTTTGGTATTGTATAATGAGACCATCCAGTAGTTGACCGGTAGTGTAAGTATGCACGATGGAAAAAAGATCGGGCGTTATACCGACCTGAAAAATATAATTGAAAACAATGGCTATATGAGTGTGTAAATATTTACAACTACAGTGCGTTTGAAAGACCTTGGAAATGTGGTTATGAACATATGTTTTCTCGCCCCAGAGCTCTAAATATGACCGCCATTTGAGATGTAAAAATATGAGTAGTTGAACCTTACAGTTATAAACATGACCAGAATTAAAGTTCGTGCAGACCTTCCAAAAATATCGCTTCAGCACTCGCGTCCGTTCTTGGAAGGTTTTTAACTTTGGTTCCTTTGAAAGCCTATTAAAATGCGGTTCAACATCTGATGGTCAAGCTGGCATTCCCTTATATTCCCTTTTGAACCTTTGATTCGCGCTGACAGAGATTAGCTCCATCAGTGGTGTTAGATACATGTTTGCAAACAGCGTAAAGTCAGTATCATTGATAGGACAAGTACTCTATATATCAGACTTAGCTAAATGACAATTTACCTGGAGTTTGAACTATTTCAATTGTACTGTCAAACTAGACTACCAGGGAAAAAAAAGTTATCACCGAATTCACTTGTCCAAATTATAGAATAAAAAAAAGTATGTGAGCTTTATGATGACTATTTTAATTAATTTTAATGCTGGTCTTCCATTTGCTGCAATTCATTAAGAAAGTGTCAAGGGGACAAAATTAAACATTTCCCAAATCAGAGTTCATTCAAAAAGTGCATTTAAAGTCACGTAATGAGACAGGAATCGGGATACACGTCATCAATAGAGAGTGTCACCACCCTGGTTATCCGTACACGCCAACGCATGCTTTCTGCTTGGGTTCAGACCTGTACCATCGTTTTTGTTTTTTCTACAATTACTTTGAAAATGATAACTTTATGTTGCCCGGTAGTTTAGTACGTTTTATTGATGCTGACTCATCGGTTAGATTAAAGATGTATTAGTCGGAACAGACCAGGACCCCGTTCCATAAAGCGATCTTAGCGTTAAGATGATCGTGGCTTTACGATCGCTTTGAGGAACGGCACCCTGGTTCCTTTTGAGGTAAAATTACTTATTAGTGATATCCAGAAATATCCTGATTTTCAACGTTTCCCCTTTCTCATAAGCAACGGCATCTTTGCACTCTTACGGTCGTAATTCTCCGGTCAAACCTTTGATTGTCTTGTCAATCGGTCACATGATAGGAGTATTGCAGTATTAGGCATTAATTACTTATCCTGTTGCTTATTTCCTTTAGTTTATCATAAGTCACCTCAGTGTTTTTTCCTCATATTTTACGTTTGGAGATGTTGTTTCATTACGAGGTCCATCCTAATTCAAGGCCTGTGTAATTCTTTCTTTTTTATACTCATGCAGCTACCTGAGCTGGGTACCTTTTACAGTACACTAGTATAAACGGGTACTTAAAAAATGAAAATGACAGCATTGCATAGAAAGCTCAGCTTTGAGGTTCATGACCCTGTTAATGAGAACAGAGGCCCTAACGCTTGCAGCTCACTTCTATCCAGTTCATTTACACGGATGCACCTTAATTGTCTGGATTAAATAGCTTCATAGGTTTTGTGCAATCGAAGAATAACGTCTTTAAGGACACGTTTGTCAAAGTCATCCAGTTTGTTCCAGCTGAAATGTGTTGAGACGGTCCATGAAACAGTTTTACCTGTTTTACAATTCATGTAGGAAACGATTCGAAAGAGTGTTTGCCTTGAACTGTTCTTTTAGCCTAATAATTCAGTGATATTGTCCCGTTTATATTCTCATTTGGAACAATTGCATCCTTCGACAGATTATTTCACACACTCTCACACGCACTGACTCTGTTGAGTAATGTTGGCATGATACAGAGTCGTGCACGCAGGTAGCATGTCTGACCTTATATTATCTGCAAACAGACATTTAGTCATCTGCTGTTACCAGCCATATCGGAAACACGAGTCCTCACCTGACAGTACATGATATCAATGAAGGAAACATCTTGTGTTTGAGATGACAAACGCTAAACATGAATTTTATTTTATTTTCATCAAATAAAAACACACTCTGGCTAATTAAATCTCTAAAAACCGATCTGGTTGACGGAGTATAAGCCAGTGAATGTTGATTTACACCTTTCATCAATATGGAAAGACTGCACATGGCTTCGTGATATCACTTGATACTTGTTGGCCATTGCCACACCACAATAGCTTTCCATTAAATCGCACCTTTAGCAATACTGTGTGATGCGTTTATGAACGTATGTTTTGAGAACAGTTCCATCTGTTTATCCATTAACTCGACAATGTATTGGCATTAATGTTAACCTTGTTCAACTCCTCTGTAACAGTCGGAGCCGTTACCCCTGAGGACGTCAAGCAGTTGAAGAAAGAAATATTCAATGGATACGATGTCTATATTCGCCCTGTTCACAACCAAACAGAATCAGTAAAGGTGGATATGAGGTTTGTCCTTTACAACATCGCCTACCTGGTACGTTCTTCAACTTGGCAAACAAATTGATATCATATCCAGATCTTCACGTAGCGTTTGTATTTATAATGTCCATTAAGCACACAAACAGGTGAGGTGAAATTGGGTTTAACGTCGCGCTGGAGAATATTTCGCTCATATGACGACGTGCATGCGTGTGTATGTGTATGTGTGGCTGCTTGTACTAGCCCAGATTTAAGCTGGTTTTATAGTGCTAGCTCACTGAGGTACAGTGCCGCAGTGAAGCATGAATACCCCACTCAGACACATTATACTGACTCATTAAGCCGACCAGTCCTTGTTGTACCCAGTAATGCCGAGCGCAAGGCAGGGACCAACAAATACCATATTTTAACGTCTTTTGGTATGACGCGGCAGGGATCGAACCCGCGACCTTCCGCTCTCCGGGCGGACGCTCTAACCACTACACCACGGAGGCGGTCCACAAACAGGTATACAAGATTGCAACTTTGTGGTTAACCTATCGCTACTTTTTTTAATTTTTGTATTATGTCACTAAAGTACATACTGTTTTAATATTGTTCATTAAGCACACAAGCAAGCAGTTTGGACCTTGCACATCTATATCTATATGTGTGTGTGTGTCTGTGTGCGTGCTTAATATAGGTAATGCGACACATGCCTTAGAATATCGCTTTGTGGTAAACCTATAGCTATTTTTTAATTATTTAACTGTATGTTCACATTCAGGATCTGAAGATTCAAGAACTAAAATGGAACGGCTTTCTTAGCCTGGTAAGTTTCACGTTTAACAAAAAGTTTTCATGTCTTTTGTAAGCAATCGCTAAATAATTATTCCTGCTACACATTTATATCATCAGTATAATCATTTAAATGCCAATAAACTGAACCACACATTGTATACTTTGGCCTTAGTGAATCACATTGTATACTCCATGCACAAATATGCGATTAAATCAAAGCATACGGCTTTGTGCATTCGCCTCCAGCGTAAGGGCATCATTTTTTTTTGTGAATCGCGTAGCCACCAAATTCTGAACATGGGACGGTCGGTAGGGGAAAAAACTTAATAAGGACAAAATTATCTGAATAAAATTCTTGATTCTCATTTATTATAATTCGTATTACAATTTCTCGCGTTCTGTGGACTTGTGGCAGCGACTGATTATATGTTTATAAGATAAACATTTTATATCGCGAGGGTTCTCATTTAGTGTAATTCGTATTACGATTTCTCGCGTTCTTTGGACTTGTGGCAGCGACTGATTTTAAGATAAACATTTTATATGACGAGGCGGTACGTTTTTGGTTCGAGTCGGCGGTGTTGGAACGAAAATAATAGGGGCAAATTGCAAATGAAGAGCGGCTCGTTGGAATGTTGGTTTTCCACCCATCAAACTGTTCTGGGTATTTTTAACAACTAAACTGTTATAGATATTTTTCAAACATTCAAACTGTCCTTGTTCTAAAGACTGTCAAATTATACAGACAAGAAGTTAAAGTATTGACAATTAACATTGCATGCAAATGAATAATTTACGCCTTTCGTTGTTCACGTAAACTTGACCATATGACCGTAAACTTCTCATTTACATCTATACAATTTACAGTCTTTTTGAATAGACATGTTTAATGAATTCTTCGTTTGTTTGCTTGTTTGTCGTGTTGTACTAGCGCTGGTACGATAGACTCCTGTCATGGAATGCCAGTTTGTATGGAGGTCTGGACTTCATCACTGTGCCACAGACGAAAATATGGCGTCCCGACTATGTCGTCAACAATGCGTACGTACAAAAAAAAAATGGTCATTGAACCTTCAGCATCATTGTATGAAGTGAGCGAAAACTGCTTAGTACAGCAAAGGCAGTCAGCAGTATTCAAATACTCCTCAACATTTATTCCCAAACATGGATAATATGTTGATAAAGGTAAGGTAAAACATTTTAATACAGAAGCCGTATTCATCGACATTAGAAACAGTACACATGTACACAAACGAAACGCCTATTGCCAATGGATATCAATTATCAGCAGCAACCAAAGTTAGGTATTACTGGGGCTTACAGTGCCTTTACTACCTTATTCGAATCTGTTGTTTAATGTCACTAAGGTACATGCTAAATTCGTCTTCTTGTTTTGTCATAGTGTTTCTCAGAAGAAGAACCTGGGAACACCGGATACTCTCGTTATCATAGAAAGCAGTGGATTAGTCACTTGGGAACCGGGAATGATTAGTGAAACAAGCTGCAAAATTGACATCAGGAAGTACCCCTTCGACACCCAGACCTGCTCGTTTGTCTTTTCTCCCTGGATGACCACAAGCAGGTTCTTGAACACAACCAGTCGTCTCAATAGAATCGATATGTCACGTTTTGTGCCACATGGAGAGTTCACTACTGGAGAGTCTTCAGTCCATTTCGACCAAATAGATGAAGTATTTGCAGACGATGCTTCGGTGACAATAACTTACACTCTTGTCCTCAACAGACGTCCATCATTCTATTGGATGGTCATGATATTTCCAATGGCAAGCTTTCCATTGCTCAGTCCAGTCAGCTTCCTTGTACCTGTAGAGAGTGGAGAGAAGATAACTCTGTCAATCACTGTGGTGTTGTCCTACTTGGTCTTCATTGGGTCAATAAATGATGCGATGCCAAAGTTGTCAGATACAGTCTCCTTGATTGGTACGGTTCGTCTATTAGAGTCTTTTTAGCCTCTTGAACTACCATTGCCTGTATGTACACACATATTTTTGCCACTTTTTTGTTTATTAAATGTAGGGGTATTTTACCTGTAATTGTATGGGTACTAAATTGGATTGAAATGAAAGGCTGATGGTCCCCATGGGTGACCTTGAAGTAAATGGCAGTGAGAGTGTTGTTAAATGAGTTTCCACAAGCAGTTTTAAAACCATAAAAGACATGGCAAATTGGCTACACAATTGAAATTTTTCGTTCTGGATAATCAAACACAACAATATAATTATGAATATTTGTACATGGACTGATCTATTCTAATCTCGAGTTAATTAACGTTTTCATTGTGTTTCAATATATAATCTACACATGTGCGTTTATTTCAGTGGTCTATGCCTCCGTACAGACACTGATAAGCATGCTGACAGTCGTTGCCAATGGAATTATCATATGCATACATAAGCTGCCCCCGGACTTTCAAGTCACAGTTCCAGTGTTCAAAACCTCAAGAAGACTCAACTCATCAAGAAAGACGAAATACGATCTACAAAGTGAGGAGAGTTGCAAAAGTAATTCTCCGAAGTTGGAGTTGTGTTCAATTACTGGCAGGACAAGGGCAGTACAATTAGCAGAAGAGCGCATGAAAGAAAACTCCGAAAACAATTGTCTTAATAATGACAAATATATCCTGCTTGCTCGTCGACTTGACAAGATCTGCTTCGTGTTCTTTGCGTTTCTTGCTATATTGGTATCCGTCATTTTCGGCTTCCTCTTCATGTGATGAGATAACAGATAATGGCGACGATTGGGACTTTTTGTTTGAAACCTTGATTTCTATTTGATAGTAACATATTAAATGTGTTGTCTTTGTCGAAATTAAAACATGAATCGTTATGTGCTGATTGTTGATATTTTCATTTATATGAAATGTTTTGATATTCCTTTTAGAATATATTCCACTGAAAACTTAATTGATGCATTTCAGTAATATGCAAACAAAATGGAAATCATTGTATTATGCTGTCACAACAGGATGAAGTCGTGTGTGACCGAAAAAATATGAATCCTACGGGAACTGCCATAATCCCACCAGTAGATCAAAGTTTTTCAAGCTCCAATGTTTAAAACTACCTAAGAAGTGGTAATTGTGGTGAATATTTCACATTGTGATCTGATATCCGTGGATATCAAAGAAGAAGTCAGGATGCCCAATAGCTGTTTTATTTAGTGTTGTTGAGTTGCGTTTTACGTCACAACGGCATTATTCCAGCCATAGAGCGACGAGACCAAGTCTGAATTCATACACATTTTAAGTACAAAGTCCAAATGAGTTTTTTGTAAAACATATTCATTACATTATTATTTACAAACAGAATATGTCATAGCACCAAACTGAAAAACAAGCAATTACATAGTTACAATTTATGATACAGATCAATCTCCTTTAAGTAGTTCAAAATGAGATGCCCGCTGACGCGGGAAAATAGATCTTTCAGATTCCTTGCTTCATAATGTGAGTTCCTCACAGTTGAAAAGCTCACACAGTCAAACAGAATATGCTTGATGGTGAACACTTCGTCGCAACACACACACATATACAATGATCCCATACTCTAGAGCAAATTAATTATCTGTACAGGTGAGTGAGTGAGTTTAGTTTTACGCCGCACTCAGCAATATTCCAGCTTTATGGCGGCGGTCTGTAAATAATCGAGTCTGGACCAGACAATCCATCAACAGCATGAGCATCGATCTGCGCAATTAGGAACCGATGACATGTGTCAACCAAGTCAGCGTTCCTGACCACCCGATCCCGTTAGTCGCCACTTACGACAAGCATGGGTTACTGAAGGCTCATTCTAACCCGGACCTTCACGGGTCCTGTACAGGTGAAGGCGGGTAGTCTGATCCAATCCCCACTCAGTATTTGAAACTACTTTCATCAAGTCAAGAGCCTTCAAACACTTTGTTTTCAAGTATTGTATGTGTGGTAAGAATGTCAAGTGACGGTAGCATATGAGTCCCAGGAATTTGCCCTCTTCTACTTAACGGGAGTACCATCTAAATATAGGACTGGATCTTTGTGTGGTTTGTATTTATGACCAAAAAATTATTACAATTTGTTTTTCATTGACCCATTTTTTAATTTTGTTAAGAAAGAGCTGAAGCTGCCTTTCTATTGCGTGCATATTCTTACCACGGCATGGAATATTGAAATCATCCACGAAAAGGGACTCTTCAACACAACTGTTAGAAACGTTAGTGAGGCTGTTGATTTTGATACTGAAAAGTGGGACAGACAGGATGCTGCCTTGAGGGACGCCCTAGTCTTGGCGAAATTAATCAGACAGTGTGGAATCCGCTCTTACTTGAAATTGTTTGTTGTTTAAAAACTGAGACATGAACTGAGAAGGGCCGGCCCTAAATCCAAATTCATGCAAATCTTTTAATATACCGTGTTTCCGCGTTTTATGATATGGTTCTCGAAGTAGAACATGACAGAAAAAGTATGTTGTTTGTCCACAATGGAATGTTTGATAATGATTCCAGACGCTTCAGATGGTCAATGGTACTTTGGTTTTTGTTTGGAAACCACATTGGATGTCACTAGCCGTCTTCAAGTACCTAAATCAATCGATTGTTGACCATGCACTCCATGGTTTTACAAACACAGCTAAGTTAGTGATATAGGACGGTAATTTGTGTGATCCCGACCAGGGTTTGGTATAGGTATTTTAATGGTATTATGCCATGAAGGGGGATAGTTGCCGGTTGTCCAAATGTCATCAAATATATCGAGTAGCGTTTCCAAACATCAATCAGGTGGGTGTATCAGAAGCTGATAATGAATATCATCTGCTCCTGTCGTGAGTCTGCCCTAGGGCAGTGCGTAATTCATGGTCGAAAATGTATGAATCCTCTCCTTTATCAGAGTTAAAATTGACTAGTTTCTTTGGTTGGGTTTGGTACCTCTGGAACCGAGGGTTGTAATTTGATGAAGAGGAATGATCTGCCAACGTTTCACCAAGTCTGTTTGCAATGTCAGATGTATTGGTTAATAAAGAATCACCATCTTTGAGATGGCGAACACCAGATGTTGATGCTTTGCCCTTAACCTTCTTCATGCCAATGTTCCCATATGGGAACATGTCATAAAATGCTTTGTAACTTTTTTTTATGCGGGAAGATAAATTAATGATTTCTGTCCATATTGATCTTAAGATAATTGCCAATGTCCTAACATTTCAAATTCATACTTTTGATTTGTTTAAAAGAATTGACGAGGGTCCAAAAATGCCAAAAAAATTGACATATATAATTGCATTATTTTAAAGTCCTTATAAACAAATGATGTAAATTTTATCATGACAGCAGGAATGTATTATAATTAAGTTAAACTTTTGAATTGAAGTTAAATGTTATAGGCAGGATCATCGTTAAAATCAATACATTCACATCATCTGCATTAATAGATAAGAAAAACAACGAATGATCTGTTCAATTCTGTATTTCGAATGAGATGTCTTGTCCTTTTTGATAAAGCCAATGAATTTATTTACGTCATTGAATTTTCTATCCCTTTTTGACAGCAATGTGATTGGCAAGATTCAGGAAAAGCATGCTATATATGCGGACCTCGCCTTTGAAATGTCTTGCTTGCATCCCAAGTACACTGTTGTCAGGCTCCCCATTGTTCTTGGTGCTCGTGGTTTGGTGCCCGGGTTCTCCACCGGGATAACAGCCCTTCTGACACTCTGGGTAGTGCAGAAGGGCTGAGAAGGCTGCAGTGTTGGGGAGTATTCTCCGAAAAGTTCTTGTAAGGTTCGACACTGGGCTACCACTGGAAAAAAAATCCATCTTTCCAAGCTTGGAAATGTCTTGGAAAGATGATGTTTCCAAGACATTTCCAATTTTGGAAAGATGATGTTTCCAAGACTTTCCAATTTTGGAAAGATGATGTTTCCAAAAATTTCCAATCTTGGAAATATCCGCAAGGGGAGATAACTGGTGGGTGATGGTAAATTATTGTTCTGCATGGGCTAATTGCAATAGTGGCATGGGGCGGCATGAGTCTTTCATGGGGTCGTTAAGGCGACTGGCGGTAGTCTTTGATGTTTGGTGTTGTTTTAGTAATGATTGTTTAAGGGGTTAACGAAAGGATAATCGACTTGACTAGTCGAAATTGCAGTGGTGAACACATTTTAAATGTTCAATGTTTTGGGTGAAAAGTGAATTCACGTTTAGTTTAAGTATGTGTCATCGTAAGCTTATATCTAGTGAGTGAGAGTTAATTTCATACAAGGGCCACCGACCCGTTATACAATTATGAAGATAACAATACAATCCAGCGCCATATATAATATTAAGCTGTATGCTTACATGTACAATGTCTTATTTAACCTTATACTCTATATTCGACAACTTCGCTCTTTTTGTCAATGCAAAAAATATAAACTTAGCAAGATTGTGAACAGTTGTAGAATTGGAAGACAATAATAAGTTCATAAATTTAGTTTCACATGGATTATTTATGTAGTATTGTTGTAGCAGGCTGTTTCTCAGATCACAGTAAAATGAACATTTAATAAAGAATTGGTACTCCGATTCAATGGTAAGTACAATACACAGAGGGCAGAATCGCTCATGTTGTTTTATATTTACTTTTCGCCCATATTCCAACATTAAAGGATGGTCTGAACAACAGAAACCTACTCGAGGCAAAACGAATCGTTGCGTTGCCATCAATCGTTGCGTTGCCATCAATCGTTGCGTTGCCCTCCTAGGGGGTCGAGTGATGGTGTCACCATGCACTAACTTCCACCGGACCCCGTAGTTCGTGCTAGATGGGTTATGTTTGTGAGTGCGAAGCGAGCGTTGTGGAAGCTTGGAACGATATCTTAAATATGTTCAGATCGTTTCGCGGAAGTTAAAGAATCAAAACAACCTACTAGTTGTAGTACAATAAATATATGATTGATGACCAAAAAGATTTCCCATGACACAACTTGAAGCATAACGATTTCTTTCTCGGAAGCGAGGTTGTGGTGGAAGTGGCAATAATATTGTAAGTAGTATTATATTGACACCCACCTTGCTTCCACGAGAGAAATTGTTATGTTATAAGATATGTCATTCAAAATCCTATTTGACATCAATCAAATACAGATTTTACTACCAGTAGAAAGTAGTTTTGATTTTGTAACTCGGTGAAAACAAACCTAAATAGCATTTATTCTCAGACTGGCTGATGTTTTTTAATAATCGTAACATCACGGGCTAAAGTCTGTTAAAGAATTAATGAGATTATGGTTTGTTTTCATCAAGTTAGAAAATCGAAACTACTTTCTACTCATAGTTAAACATGTATTTGAGTAATGGCCAACAGGATTTGGCATGACACAACTTGTAACATAACGATTTCTTCCTCGGAAGCGAGGAAGTGACAATACTGCCCAATAAATTTCTTGCTACACTCACGTGGTAAACGTCCACTCACCAGTATGTAGATACTAGTCAACGTGCGTCTTTATATTTGGTCTTATTATCCTAATTAGTTTATTATCATACTTGTATGCATTTTGAAACCAAATAATAATCAGGCGATCTGCCTATACTTATAACTGGAATATCTAGACATTTTATAGTTTGCCAATGTAAATCATAATTCGCACACGCCCTAGTGTATGTTGTCATTACTTCACGACGAAAACAATGATTCTGTGGAATGCTACGAAAAATGAAAAAAAAAAAATGCAATTATTAAAATTAAAACAGATTAGAGTTACAAGAACAATGTCAGGCGATTACTTTGTTCAAGGA